GCTACAAGCATGCTTAGTGTGAGGGATTGCTGAAGAGTCAATGAGTCGATGCAATCAGCTGGTTTTCCTTGGATGGACATTTTTTGAAGCAATCTGACTGGATGATCTGGTTGAATTGTCTCTAATTTGATGACATGGTGTGAATTGGCGCTATAGAAACAAACAGAATGAAAATCTCCACAGCTTCCCATCTCTCCTCGGCTCATTGACCCTTTTAGAAGGATGCTGAGGCATCTTAGGTTTTTTCAGACTCTTCCTGGCCTCCATGATTTCTGGCTGCTGCTTTGTTGCCATCAGTAAAAACTAAATCCTGGGAACTCTCACGTGATTGGCTCAGGAACCAGGAAGGAAACGAGCACACCATCCCTCCGCAGCTCTGACTGATTTATTTTTTCCAAATTATTTTGATTCACTTTCTGTTTGTTCCATTTGTTTAGTGCAGTAAAGTCAGATTGCCGGTTCTGTCACTTAAATCCTATAAAAAGGTGATTTTAGGAGGTTTAGTTTCCATATAGCTGCCCTGAGGCCTGCCTGTTTTAAAGGGCGGGTCCGACCGGTTCTGGTTCTGTTCTTCTGTCATTAATGAGCTGAACGGTTCTGGGTCAGAAATGACACAGGAAGACGGGTTTGATATGACTTGATGAATCCAGAAAGAGCTCAAGTTCTGGACTGAGGGTTGGTTTCAGAACCGCTGCATTCTGGGTAATCCCTGCTGAGGCTTTTATCTGAGGAGGTTTCTCTCGTTCTTCAGTGAAACCAGCAGGTCCAACTGTGTTTGCATCCTTCCACAGGAGAGGCAGCGGCTGGAGACCATCCTGACCCTCTGTGCCGAGTACAACAAGGGCGAGGGCGCCGGGCCGGACACCCCAGACCCGGGAAGGATGGCGTTCCCCGGCAGCCTGGATTGCTCGCTGGGCAACGTTCTGGGAGGAACGCCGCTGTCTGCCCTCCGCCTGGCGCAGAGACAGAGGGAGAGCGACGAGGAGAACCTGAAGGAGGAGTGCAGCAGCACAGAGAGCACTCATCAGGAGGTGAGGGTGGGGGGGGCTGCTCCCAGGACCGCAGGCCCGGTCCGGTTTGACTCCTAACGTAAAGCGTCTCCCTTCCTGCAGCACGAGGACCCCCCCAGCTCAGCCGGCGCCGCGCGGTCAGAGCTGACCTACCTTGAGGACGAGAGGGTCCGCGTTCTGGCCCGGATCGACGAGCTGAAAGCCCGGCTCACCGAGCTGGAACAGCAGCTCCAGGAGTCTGAGCAGGAGGTGCGGCTTCATCAGAACCTCCTCCGGGACGCGTCTCTGCCGGCGGCGTGTGACTCACCGTGTCTTTGGACCCCGCAGGCGGAGATGGAGCGCGCCCTGCTGCAGGGCGAGACGCGGGCCGAGCTGGACCAGATAGAGGCCGAGACGGACGTGGTCAGTCAGCTGCAGCACAGGCTGGAGGAGCTGGAGAGCGCCATCCGGAGGGAGAAGGAGCAGGTACACGGGGACAGGAGGAGAGCCTGGTTCGTGCAGATAGGCTCACCAGCTGTGGTTCTGATCCGTCTTCTAACCCTGAAGTCTTTCTCGGCTTCCTCAGCGTGGGCTGACGGTAGCAGCAGGCACAGGAGGTTCTGGTTTATTACTTTATAGAACCACCTGGTTTTACAGCAACCAGATAAATCTGCTAATCTGCGTTTCACACCTATGAAATAATCCTCGCATGATTAATAGAAGGATGGTAACGCTGAGCTCACTGCGGCGCCATAAGGAACCCAAACCTTTGAAATCAGTGGGAACGCCCCATCAGCCGCGCTGCAGAGCTATCCGGTTAGCGAGGACGAATCATTTCCTCTAGAGGGGCGTTTGGCCAGATGTGTAGCGGCCTCATTAATCCAACAGCAGAGACTTCCTGCTCAATTTCAGAATAAAATGAGATTATGCTAACTTTGCTACTGGAACCAGCCAGTTAAAGGGCGAGTTTAAACCGTGAAAGAGCTTAAACTCAGGTGATGATCTGTTCTCAGCAGCGATGGTTCTGCAGCTGTAGCCGGGTCAGGCTGGTCGCGGCGTCTGCAGCTGTGCAGCAGGCGGTGTGAGTGCGGCGTGCGGTGCGGCTAAATGCTGCAACAGGTGCAAACATTTGGGTTGTTAGTTTTCCAAAAGAATGATAAAATTCAGAAACATTGCTTCGGTTTATGGAAGGGAGCCTTTGTTATATTAAAAAGAGAGAATGTCGCCACGTTTATAGGATTTAGAGAAATAAAGTCATGAAACAGGCCTATAAACTACACTGCAAAAACATCCTAATAATGAGTAAACATTTCTTAAATCAAACGATAAATAAGCTTTAAACCTTTCTTTACTGTTATTTCTTCAACATTTTTGATTAAAATCTAGAAATATTAGTTGTGGTTATATTATAGTGTAGTTCTGAAACATTAATGAATTAATCGTTAACTGGAGTATATATATATATATATATAAGGGGTGGAACGGTTCACAAAATCCACGGTTCGGTTCGATTCACGGTTTCGTGGTCACGGTTTTCGGTTCGGTTCGATTCTGTATATGTTGATTGTTACACCGAAATCCCATAAAAAT